GAACAACATATGGTATGTGAGCAAATACAATTGAAGATGGACCAACCAAAATTGGTTCTGATGAATTTACATATACAGGGTCTAAGTTAGGTATGATCCCAGATGAATTTAAGGTCAAAGCGTTTCCATTTAGCAGCATGGTTTGGCTTTGTAAATTTCCATCCTTTGCTGTTAGATGGTATTCTTCTCGTACTGTTTCACTTCTCAAACCCTGATGGAACTTCAGCTGTGCTCTATGAGACCTGTGAGATTTGTGTTTATGTCGCAAAGTCCAGGAAGTGTTGAAGGCAACTCTTGCCTCCACCGTCGTCGTGTTTTGTAGGTTGATCAGTAGTACTGTAATCCCTTTCTGCAGCACAAAATTGTGATCAGCACAGTAAACGAAGAATGTTTGAATGTTGTCTTTCTTTATATTCAAGTTGTGGCATAAATAGACTTACGGATTGTTTTGCACAGTGTGCGTAAGCACGTATCTTTTTCGGTCCAGAAAAGCTGGTTGCCAGTACATTTCTTCCCATCAATCGGTGCCAAAGAAGAGCACTGGTATGGAGAAAGCCAGGATAAAGCAGCAGAAGTGTTAAAATACTGTCTAATATTTGAGAATTTAGCTTCTAAGGTAAGTATGATCGGTATGTATGTAGTGACCTACCTGTAGTAGTCTGGATTGGGTTCGTAGGTAGTAGTGTTGAGTAAACCATAGTTTCCACCAATCAATGTCTGTCTACAGTACGTTTTGGTATCATAAGCTGCTGACATGGCAAGCTGATCTAAATACCTGTTTGTCACATCCAAGATATGATTCTTGTTAGAAATTGAAGAAGAGAGGAGAGGACCAAAGAAGATGCTCATGAGTTGTCATAGCCAAGTTACCAGAAACTATATACAAATGAATTGCTGACAAGATGACGGCCGCTGTTGTAAGCACCTCCTGCTTCCCCAACCCATGCAGCTGCTGAAGTTGAGGAACTCTTTAGGATGTTACGGAGGTTGCTAAATGTGCTAGCAATACCGTCGAGATAGGAGGGATCAAGAATCTTTTCAATAAGGTGTTCATCAACCCCTGAGAACACAGAATGAAGATTTATTTTATCAGTATGAAGTTGCGAATTCAAAAGGAATAAGTAGAAACTTTCAAAATCTCTTTGTTCAACCAATGATACCTGGCCCTAGATTATATATATGGTGGGTGACCACGTCCAAGGATGTGGTTGTTTTATCTGTATAGTCTTTGAACCACTTTGCATCAAAGAATCCTCCAGGTGATAGGATTAGTGGCTTTGGTTCAATACCCTTGTATATATCGTGTATTATCTTTTGCAGAGAAGCTGTATCAGAGACGTATTGACTCGCTCCGATTGTTGTTCCAATTCCATGTCCACACAATTCATTCCCTGAACACCATTGAAATACATTCAATTTGTCTAGATAAGCAGGGTCAAAATTTATAACGACAGTAAAATTTTCAGTGTTGTTATCTTACCAAGCTCCCAACCATGTACTGTGTAGTTCTTTTTAACACTGTAACGGATGAAAGACTCAGAATTTTTGTAGTCCCAAGCTCCAGTTGCAGTACCATTAGAATGTATTGTTCGTCCAGTGAGAGCATTTAATCCAAAGATAAGCTTGGCCCTGGAGAGGGCGTACATGTGATAATGTTAGGTGCTCTTCATTCTGAAGAAAATCTAAAAGTTAAATGAAGAAGAAAAAATAAGAGATTATATTTACCCAGATTTCTGAAAAAAGGAGTTTAATTCATCCCATCTGTTCATTGGTAAGCACCCCGGAGTAAAACCAAACATCTCTGTGGTGCTTTTTTGAAAAGGAACACAGCGTTGCTTATTGTCTGGTGTAGCATAGATGACCTTATCTTGCAAGGTACCCCCCAATCTAAGTTTCAAGGGTGAGAAAGCTGAAAAATCAGCACAAGTAAGTTTTAGGCTCTTATTTTTTATACATGTATTGAAACAATCAGATATCAAGGAAGGAATTCTTACCCTTCACGGCATTTAATAAGATACTGCTGCCTAGATTCTGCACAATAATGATCAAATAAACATCAGAAAGCATTTTCTACAAAGAAAGTATCAATTTATTTCAATACAACAGTACTGAGAAAAAGAGAGAGAGAGAGTACAGATCTCAAAAACATAAAAAGGATTTTTGATTTCAGATTATTTGCAACTGGGAAACACACCAATTACAAATCTCAAAAACATACAAGCATATGCAAGTGGAAAAGGAAAATAGAAAGAACAAATGTACGTATGTTAGATTCTTGAGAGAAACATTAATGTATATATGTATACCAGATTGAGGAAAGAAGCACGACCCCAGCTGCATGTCCCATAGTCACATTTCTCAGGAGGCCACCAATCCAAAGTTGCACAAATAAAATCATCATCAATTTTACCAATGGCATCTTTGCCATTAACGTGGACAGTGCCTTCAATACTTCCACCTCCGAAGCCCTGTGAATTTACAGAATGAATGAAGCTGAAAGCCGAGAAACAGACCCAGAAACACAACCCCATTGGCCAGAAATGAGAACCCATTTTCCGGAATCAACCAGTTCATACACAAAAGGGTTAATGTGCAAGATCTCAGTCCCTCTCTCTCTCTCTCTCTCTCTCTCTCTCTGTGTTTGTATCTATATATAAATGGGTGAGGAACCCATGAAAAGTGAAGAGCTGAGATTACTGCAGAGTTTCTGTTTGGCCTTTGGACGGCAAATGGCCAGAATGGGTGGGGGGAGGTGTTGTAAGTAATAATAATAATAATAACAAGTGAATGAGATCAATCAAACAACAGTTAAAAGAGAAATTTATTTGCTATAATTATGTATGTGTACAAACAAACACAGACTACATAATAAAGAAAGAAAAAAAAAAACACAGACATACACACACGTGATACTTGGACGTCAGAAATCTACCAAGGACAGGGACCATGGTCCTTTCCTATTTGACCATGGCCTCTGCCTATGGAGCTATTATAACATTATTATTATCATCTAATCCATTATTAATTTTTGTTTTAGATAAAGCATAAAAATAAAGCATGGAATTGCAACTTGCAAGTGGGCCGTGGGTTTGCTTTCCAAACTGGCAAGTGCAAACAAAGATTGGCTGGCCTGTCTGTCGGATAAATCAGAAAAAGATTGCCAGGTTTTACTGTTTGACAGCCACCCACTTGGTCTCTTGGTTTTGGAATGTTAACGTGCACTCCGCTCGGGATAAATACGACTTCTACCTTGTAAAATGATTTTGACGAGTAGATAGCGAGACATGTTTTATCAACTGCCGTAAAAATGTAGACTGACAACGTAGTATCGAATGCATGTCTGAATGTCTGTCTCGGGAAAAAAAATATACAGTTATTTATACCAAAAAAGGAAAAGAAAAGAAAACACTGTGCACAATTTTATGAAAAGATTCACAACGATCATGGTACCTTAACCTTGCGCAATATCAGCGCGAGTTGTATTAAAATACGATTTATGATTATTCAATTTCTCACCCCTTTAACTTTAATCTTTTTTTTCCTTTTGCTCTTTATGTTTTTCAATCAAATACCTCATCTTCATGCTCTGATAGTGTTCTTGAAAGGAACCAATTACCAAATCGCAGCATTGAATTACGACGACGACAAAAATAAAAAAATAAAAAATACATATATGTACATACGGCGGGTATTTTTCAAATAAAATTATTTAAGAAATTCCTCAAAATATATATATTTTTACCTACCCATTGATGAAAATGAGATGAGGTATTTTGTTGGGTAAGCAAAACATGAAAATCCAAGATGTAACAGGCTACCAAGTACCAAAGAGTTTGTTTGTTGAGTCAATCAAATCAAAGTGTCAATATCCATGTACATGGGATGGTCAAGTTCAACCAAATGTTTGTTCATTGAGTATAAAATAAGACTCTTGCTATAGTTGCTTGCTTGCTCCCACTCCCACACAACCCCTTCCTCCTTCATATTTGTTGTATTTGTTTTAATATATTAATTAATTAATAAGCATATTCTTCCTTTCTTACCCTATTTTCGTTAATGTCAATGCGATCAGGTGAGTTTCTTCACCCAAAACAGAACCACCAAACCTAATCCATTGGATTAGATAAGATGTTGTCGACTTTTTTTAACATTATTCCCTTTCTTTCTTATTTGGAATTGAATCTTTCATCTGCTGACAACTAGTCTACATCATCACTGCCATTCCATATTGGATTGTTTTTAGATTAAGCAAAAGATCAGATCATATTATTATTTTATAAACTTGATGTGATTAAGCAAACCTCTCTTTTATTTTCGGCGAATCATTATTTCCTTGACAGAAGAGAAAAGTTTTGTGTAACAGTGAGTTAACGATGAGGACCATCATTTGAGTTATCTCAAGTCCCTATCAGGTTCACGAATGCAATAATATAATGCTCTCTCTCTCTCTCTCTCTCTCTCTCTCTCTCTCTCTTTCTTTCCTTGAAACTCATTAAGGAAAGAGAATATCATCAAAAGCCTCTCTAAGGAAAGGTCCTTATCACTGCAGGCTAAAATCATTAGGCAAGACAAAATGGAACAATATGGGTTGTTTTAACATGTGATTAGGTTGATCATGACGAACACCACCTTCTGAATGTATGAAATGCTTGTCTTTCATGCATGATGCATGTTCTGTTTTGAAAGTGGAATATTATATACCTTATCAATGTTATGAAGCAAATGCATATGCCAAACAGCATAAAGTGGCCTAATCCGAAGTTGGTTCGATCGTCTGAGTAAAGGAAAGAACAAATAAAAGATTAGTATAGTTTAGAAAATAGATCATTATTAAGAATTTCTTGATTATATGCCAACTCTCTTTCCAGCTGCAATACTGCTACTGCATCTTCTTGTTCAGCAATCGAGGGAATTAACTGGGAACACAACTTCATTGGGCCTACTACAATGAGGCCCAGCCCATCTGGAGTAGAGTCAACCGAGTCCAAGCCCAAAATGCAGACACCAGACCCAACCCAAAGCATGATTGATGGGCCATAAGACCCATTGACTCATAAGTCATACTCAAAACGTATAAGATGCGTTCGTCCGGTGGATATCTGAACTGTTGAAATTGCCGAAATGCTGAGACGAAAACCTACGAAGATCCAACTCAAAATCGAAGACAAAGAGGAACTCGAAGAAGCTCGCAAGCGCTCCGCCGCCGCTTCCGCCTCCGCTACCACGGCGGCCACTGCTCTCCTCCACCACCTCGACCGCCCTAAAGACCCCTCCTCCAAAACGCACCGCATCGGCCTCCCTTCTAATTGAAAGTTACGCACCCCAAACACCGAAACATAACTCCATACACCCGCCGTTTTATGTCTCACATTCTCAAACCTCTAATGGAGGTTGAGCTCAAGCTTAGGCTCCCAGACGCCGCCGCCCACCGCCAAGTCACCACCCTACTCGCGCCGTTCCACGTCAGCACACACCGGCAAGAGAATCTCTTCTTCGACGGCCCCAAAGCCGAGCTCTCGGCTCGCCGAGCCGCCCTCCGCCTTCGCTTCTCGGACCGAGCCCCTCTGTGCGCCGCGACCCTCAAGGCGACCAGCCGGATAAGCTGATGTCGGCGGAGTCTAGGGTTTTGAGTAGGGTGAGGGAGGAATTTGGGGTTTTGGGGTTTGTGGGGTTGGGAGGGTTCAGGAATGTGAGGGATGTGTATGATTGGAAAGGCTTGAAATTAGAGGTGGACGAGACAAAGTATGAGTTTGGTACTTGTTTTGAGATTGAGTGTGAGAGTGCAGACCCTGAAGGGGTCAAGGAGGTGCTTGAGGGCTTCTTGAAGGAAAATGGGGTTCAGTATTCCTACTCGGAAACATCAAAGTTTGCGATTTTTCGGGCTGGCAAGCTGCCCCTTAGTGAGTGAATGTGGTAAGTTTTGTGATAAGAGTGTTTGGATTTTTGTTTCTCTATAGAATGTTTGTTTATGTGATCATACAACGAGGGTTTTTGAGGATTTTGATGGCATCAAAATTCAGTTTCTGCTTTTTTATTGACTTTGTGGTGGAATTATGTGTTTGGATGTTTTATTGTTGTCATGGAATGTTTTTTCAAGTGATTTGAGAATGCTGGGCATAAGAGATTTTGGATTGCCTTCGCTTTTGATTTTATTCTTGTTGAGTGAACTCTGTTACTTTGGGTTATGTTGCAGTGTTTTCTTTGAAGGATTTGGTTTTTTTCGTTTGCTTGTTTCATTGTCAGGTTGGTTTAGAATTGATATAGTTGCATTTATGATGAAAAAGTTTTGAGGTCCATTGCCGATTTTCCTAGTTGTATATCCCATATGACTGAATAAGCATACTTTCAGCAGCTCTTTAAAATGCTGCTATGGCCTTGTGAGAAGATTTCATATATTGTGGCTTTTTCCTTGTTTTCAGTTTTACATCAAGAATGATCCTTTAATGTTGAGTTTTTAAGATTACTTCAAACAAGAAGAGAGGTGACCGTGTTACCTGTTTTATACTTATACGTTTCCTAGTTTCTTCATCAGTCAGGCCTTTGCCAAGTCTTCGTTTGCACCCTTGAACCCAGTTATTGATTCTATAATTGTCATTAAAATCTTCACCACCTTTGGTCATTGTAGTTTACTTGATCCAAATAAATTTTTTTTTCCTTCTGGTTTATAGCCATTTGTTTAAGTTTCTCAGTTTGATTCACGAGTCATCATTCATCTCATTTATAGCTCGGTTAAACTTCTTTGGTTTTATATGTGTTTAGTTCCTCCACAGTAGATCCACTTTTGTCATTTGGTGGCCAGACTGCAATTGTCGGTTGGTCAATGTGCAGTTTTTGGCATCCTCAAATATATGTAATCAACAGATTTTGTTGCCATTGTCATTATTATGATGTGTTTCTCATTCATGGCATTGCAACCATGTTCTTTCTCTTTTAAGCTTAAAACTTTGATGGTTGAATGCAAATTCTTGTTGAAATGAAAAGCAATAATTCCATATTACCTTACCGTCCTATTTGGTTGTTGAAGGAGCACAATTGGAGCCTTTACCAAGTGGGAGAAATGCTGTGATGAAGGAAGCAAGGATGAAAGTCAGAACCCCTCGAGACCAGTGATTTCTTCTTCTGCTCCAATCCAAGCTTCGTAGTTTCTCATTTTATTCTTGTGAAACTCCGTTAATCTCTTTACTTCCCGTTGTTTGTAATGAATCGCAATAATGTCATATTATATTTTACCATATGACTGGAAGTGCTTCTGTTTGTTCATTGAAAATGTGAGGCCCCATGCCTCAACTCAACGCTTTTGTTTTTGGGTTGATATCATGGGCACGGTTTCAACGAAAAGGAAAATGGGTACAAACAGATGTGGGATTAGTTCATAACTAGAAAGGTATGGTTGGAAAACACAAGGGCGAGATCACCCATCACATTCGCATCCATGATCTTAACCATCTTTAAATTGAAATCGCGCCCATGTGTTCTTATCTTACCAAGCTCCCAACCATGTACCGTGTAGTTCTTTCCGAGATAACACAAGAAGAACCAAAACAGTTGGGTTCTAGGCATCATATCAAATTAAACTTGAAGATTCCCAACTTCATATAAATTGATCCGTCCATGTGAACATAACCCCATTAGAAAAATAGCTGTTTAACACAACATACGAAGACTCTCTCAATACTACATCAAACAGGTGTACCATAGATAATCAATAACACTAGAGGTTCATTCAGAACGATGATTGTAAATTCTACCCTGACCAAACTGACAAGCTAAATTCTGCCTCACTACTCCATAACACTCCTGCACGAAATCGGAACACAAGGGCAAAGGATAAGGACTCCTATTCTCACTTCCGCCTTTTCGCAGGTGGCTGTGGAACCTCTTCCTCTTCATCCTCATCTTCTTCCTCTCCATCCTCATCTTCATCATCATCACCATCGTCATCTTCGTCGTCATCATCCTCATCCTCATCATCACTTCCTTCATTGCCATTGGCTTCAGGATCATCCTCAGGATCCCCTCCTTCATCTTCCCCTTCTTCACCTGAGAAGTCCTCATCTCCTCCCTCCTCATCATCCTGGTCATTCACATCATCATCATCTTCGTTGTCGTCTTCATCATCCTCTGTATCGCTAGCATCTTTGTTTTCCGCACAAGGTTTTTTCAATTTGAGAAGTTCTTCAAAAGGAAACCTGCAGATGGAAGCAATACTCGCCCACTTAATTGAATGTACCCTAAAAAATCAATAGTGCAAGTACTGGATGAGCACAATTAGAACTTTATTACCTTCCAGTGACAGCAATCAATTTTGATGCCATATTGACATCATTTATCACCGATCCAGTCTGAAACAACGTTAACTAGTGTTGGTGAATAGAGTATACAAAGAGACAACGTAACAAATAAGACAATTTATTCCTTTTCATTTTAATCCAATAGAGACCCAATCCTAACAGGAGAGGCTATTTCAGTTAGGGATACAGAGAGTATAAAGTAAAATTTCATTAGTTGCTCTCAACATTATATACCATACATAGCCCTGTTGATGAAAATGGAATCCAAAAGGGCATTTAACATACAGCCGATAATGCTGCAGGCAACGGGCAGCAACGCAAAACAAATTCTTAAAATACACATTATAACTTGTCAACAATACCAAATCTGGTCGACAACAAAATTAAAACCCCCCAACACAAGGCCTACATCACTCAATAAAGTGATAAATGAAACAAACTTTAGCCACATGCTCAGTACTAAAACTACCAAATATTCTGTCAGTGCAAAATCCGATGCTACAGCCCACACACAATTACATTTTACATGATATGAACGATGGAGAGTGCTCATTTGTTATCTTAGAAGCAGAAATGGCAACACCATATCTGCAATGTCTGCGCAAATTTCTTTGCTGCAATCTTCTGTTCTCATGCAGGGTTCTATTATGTCCTTTTGTTACCTACAGCTCTAAGATTAAAAGAAGGAAAAGGAATTATGGCCACTCAACGTATTAATGCAACCACAGAAAATCGCATAGTTTATGAACTTAAAGAAACCAGGGCACATGGAAAAGATTAAGAAAGGTATTGTGTGCTTAAAAAACTATAAACCAAGAGCATTAAGAGCTCTAAAGAAAACTTCAAGAAATTTGTAACCTCAGTTGTACATCAAAGCATTTGAGTATAGTATCTACACAGTTTTTTAAACAAGCAAGAAGAAACCAAAGCCACTTTAATACGATGTTACATTTATGCAAGAATAAAAAAAAAGGATTCACAAGAAAACCAATATTTCCTAGCACCTGTATAAGTAAGTACAGGTTTCAGAAAAAACAATACTGCATGCCGCACAAACAAATATTAAAATTATGAAAATTGTCACAAATCAAATTAGAAACCTAAAAAATTACAACAAGTTCTAGTTCACAAGCAATGAAAGAAAAAAAAGCTAACAGAAAAGGTCAGTACTTCACATTCTACAAACTCTCACAATTAACATCTTAACCAAAGCAAGCATTTCTCTCCCCAAACAACCTAATTCACACAACTGTCAAATTTCAGTCATTCAACTTATCAAAAATTAAATTTTCAAACTTCAGAACAGTAGTAATAGTAAGAGAAAGGCCAACTTCCGAAACATAAGTTCAGTAATAAAGAGATGCACGCTATTAAGATTTCAAACTCCAAAAACACAACAAAAGCATGAAACTTTAAAACTTCAATCGATGTCACAATTTGCCACCCAAACTAAATTTGACACACAGAGAGGAGAGAGTGAGAAAGAGAGATGCTATATACCGCCAAAAGCAGCAGAGCAAGAGAGTTGTGAGCAACAAGAACAGTGTTGACCAGCATTGCTTCCAAAAGAGATCCTTCCCACATGCTCTTTTTCTCCAAGGCGTACAAGTCCATCTTCGTTGCTGCAAAAAGAAGCTCAAAATACACAAAAAATCAGAGCAAAAATTGCACAAAGAGAAAGAGAATGTGTGCCTGTGTGAGGGACAGTGAAGGAAAGGGTTTGGGGCAAAAGGTTTGGTCCAGTTAGGATGAATGAATCCACTGGAGTTTGGTCCGGTTAGGGTTTTTGTCACTGGATTTGCTACTGCCACATTAAACTCTTTGCTTCCACGGCGGATAATATATTTATGTTGAATAATTGCTAATTAGGATATTATATTGACTCGTTCGGTACTGTGAAGGTCGTGGAAGTAGTGAAAACTGTTGTGGTTATAGTACTTTTGTGCGTCTCTCTTTTGTTTTTTTTTGCCTTTCTCCATTTGACTTTTAAGTTTTGAAGTAATTGGAAAGCTTTCTCTCTGGATCTAGTGTCAGAGACCAAATGTCATTGGCCAAAAAGCAGGATTCGCTGCTTCTCGGACCAAATGTCATTGGTCCAGTTCAAATTCAAAAATTGCTTTTATAAATCCCTAGTCTTTCTTCCAATGAAGAAAACTAATCGACAAGAAGAGTGTTTCTTTGAGATTTATTTAAATTTCTATAAGTTATTTTTTTATTTTTGTATTTAGAGAAGCTAGCTCAAGGGAATATTACAACTAATAATAATAAAATTATTCCAACTATGAATTTAATTTAATTTTTTAATAAAAAAAGTTTAGGGGAAGATTGGCTACTCTTATCACTAGAGCCAAAATAGACCCATTACTTGTGGCACTCAACTACCAGTTGCCACGGGTAAGAATTTATGTAAGAAATTACAGTTTGGGCACCAACGAGGATTGATGACAACGGAACTTGAATACTGATGGGACCACACACAGTGCAAAGATCTTACAAACTAAACCAACTCTCATTGGCTAACTATGAATTTATTTATATAATTAGTTGAGATCACTTTCTATAAAAGGTGGTAAATTGTTTGATTTTATTACTTTTTAGGACACCTATTACTTTAATAGGTCCAACTACATAAATATTTTATCTGGCATTAGAAAAAAAAAACTACATGAATATGTTCCAAATTTGCAAAGATTTAATAACGGGCTTGGATCTATTATTGTGCAGAATTATGTGGACGTAGGCCCATTCTCAGAGTTGGGTTTCATTTTGTCACTATCAGCCCAACAAAAAACATAACAAGCTAGCGGCTCAAGGGAATATTACCGATCGAGCTAGTCCATTCATTCATGTCATCCGCCCAACATGTAATGTAGATGAAGCTATCTTCCACCAAAATGTAGCCAACATGAGGGCTCCCATATTTTTCATTTTAGTGCTCTGTATGTGTTCTAGGGTACGGGACGTGAAAGCTTAAGCAGCTGTTAATGTTCAAGATTACCAGTTTCCTGACATTCAAATTCCTGACATTCAACTTCCACGACTTCCTCCATGTGGAAATGGTCTTAGCCCTCCACATCTCCCGAACACAAAAATTGCTGGGAAAGACGAGTAACAGATGATTGTTGTTCATATGACAGAGAAGCTTATGAATCTATGGGCATTAAGCGCCATTTTTGCTGCACCACTGTCACTTACGGTGGCGTGGATTGTTCTACCCCGACACCGACTCCGTTTAACAAAGTCTTAAGGCATACTTGTACAGATGATCATGGTGCACCTGTTGCCAAACCCAACCCCACCTGCTGCTAAACCTAAGCCACCACCCTCTCCTCCTGCAGCCAAACAAACCCCGCCAGCTTCACCCCCTGCAGCCAAACAACCTCCTAGCAGTGGAGGTGGTGGATATTGTCGGGAATCTTATAATTATGCATCTGGAAGTGGATGCTCTAATGGACAGTGCTGCGAACAGAATATCGATACCGGCATCAAGTGTGTAAACGGAGTTCCAAAGCCTTACCGAAATGTCATCAACAATAGCTGCTACAATCAGCATCCTTGATATAAATATCAGCATTGCTTTTGGAGGAATCAACTCGCTGTTATTGCTTTTTGTGTTTAATTGCCTTTCAATATATCTTAGAATAAAGATTTTCCATTAATGGAAGAAGAGTTTTTTTTTCGTATTTGTTGAGATAGTTGGAATAAGAATATGGTCAATCTCTATTTTTCTTTATTTATTCTAATATAATATAATATTCTGGATGTCTTTCTCCATGAATTTTGCCAGCCCAGCAGAGCAGCATTAATTCATTCATGACTTGTGATGCTTTAATTTCATTTTAGGTTCCTTATTAAAAAAACTACAAGTTGTGTGCTTGGATCTGGATGAAAAATAAATTAAGGTCTGATTTGTAATGGAGAGATTATTTAAATTTTAGAATATGAAGCTAGGTTTCAAACTTTTCAGAACTTATTTTTTTATTAGGTCCAAAAACGTTTTTAATTTTTATCCCTTTTATTTTTTTTGGGTATCAAATCAAAGTCTAAACTACATTCACTGAGATTTTTGGTTGATGTACCCAACCATTATTTTACAAGTTTATGGGCATAAAATAAGATCCAGAAAAATAATCACAATATCGATTTTAAAATGTGAAAATAAACATATTGTGTAATAATTTGGAATAATTACTCTTTTAATGCTTTCGAGTCCTAACATACGTGTGAATAGTATAGTGTACAATTGTGAAAATGAAGATAAGAACGTGGGGGCCAGTACCAAAGAGAGAATGTGGTGCCTTTCATTTTGGTAAGTGATTTCAGATTAAAGTTAGAATCTCCACTCTTGTTGTTGTTGTTTTGTCTCGTTTGTACTAAAAAAAGGAAATGCCAAACAAAGCCTTGAGAAATATTAGAATTTGCCTACTGACAATCCATAGGCAAATTCTTTGGCTTCTTCTCTCCCCTCTCTCTCCCACCACACCAGTCAACACGGCCGGCTACGCAGAAAAACCCTAGAACCACATATAAATTTCCAACCGTCAATTTATTTATTAATTCTAGATTACAGGTCAACGAACCAAAACCCCCAATGTATTAATCGCGTACAGAAAAAGACAAGAAGAATAACGCCAGCTCCGCCGGTCGTGTTGCTCGATTTTTTCGTGTGATTGCTGTCGTAAAAATGTCGTCGGAGATCGAGGTCGTCGAAGACGAGGTCCAAACCCGTGATCACGAATCTGTGGGTGCCGCCTCAGCCAAGTCAACGAACAATGGCGACGCCAATGGGATTGGGGAAGAGAGTCTGCGAAACGACGTGTACACGGCCGCTGCGTACGGGGATTTGGAGAAGCTCCAGAGATTGGTGGAGTGTGAAGGTTGCTCTGTTTCCGAGACCGATGGGCTCGGCTACTATGCCCTCCAGTGGGCCGCTCTGAACAACCGCACTGCCGCTGCACAGTATATTATTGAGGTTCTTTATTTATTCTACACCTATTTCATTTTTTTTCTTCCCATGGAGCACGGTGAAAAGGGTTTGCTTTGTTTGATGCGTTTGTGAATTGTGCTTAAATTGCATATCAAAATTTGAGATTTATTATTGATTAGTGGCATTACAGTTAAACTTTATGTTACTTAGTTAACTGAAAATGCCAACTTATGCTCAGACTGCTTCTCTTATTTAAAAGAAAAAGGAAAAAGATAACGAGAAATGCTGAATTAGCATTAAGCATTTTGCTATTGGTTTTTGTTGAGGCCATTAATGATTGTTGTTGTTCTCCTTAAGACAAATTTTAATCCAGGATAAGTGTCTTTGTATAACTAGTTTGTTATTTGGTTTTGTTAAATGCCAGCACGGAGGAGATGTGAATGCCACAGATCATACGGGGCAAACAGCATTACATTGGAGTGCAGTGCGGGGTGCAATCCAGGTTGCAGAGCTATTACTCCAAGAGGGTGCTCGGGTAAATGCAGCCGATATGTATGGCTATCAGGTCAGTTTTACTTTTAGGTCCCCTTCACAACTCTACCGACCCTGCTTAAGGGAATGTTATGGTTTTGTTGACTACAGATACTGGGAGAAAAAATTGGGATGCAAAATTTGTGCATAACCATCTGTCTTCATATCTCCGTGTTTGTATAAGCTATTTTAAGTACAATATCTGCATTGCTAAATGGACTTTCATGCCATTATTCCTTGAACTAAAGATTTTGAGGCCAGGTTTAATTTGAATATTTTAAGTCAAATCAAACATTAGCAATCAGTAATTAATGATTTCCTTCGAGTATGGTTACTGAAAGGTATATACTGATACAACAATGAGTTTAGTATTTGGTTGGAAGTGGATAAGTAAATGACAGTACTTGTTTTAAATTATAGGCTCATGGTTTAGTAAGAGCTTTTTACCCCATTTTGGCTGATTATTTGGCTGAAAGAGCCTGAAGCATATGTATTGTACTGATCTAATTTGATATGACCACAGACTACACATGTTGCAGCTCAATATGGTCAGACTGCTTTCCTGTACCATATTGTTTCAAAATGGAATGCTGATCCTGATGTGCCTGATAATGATGGGAGAAGCCCTTTACATTGGTAAGTGAGAATATTATCTTTGTATTGTTTGTTATTAGTAATATTCATTTGTATACCAAATTTCTTTCCTATGGTTTGAGAGTGACTGTTGAATTTTTCACCCTTTTCTAGTCAAAGCATGGTTTTCATAATCTTGTTTTCATTGTGTGAAAGTAAATCTAGTTTTCTCTGATATATTACTTATGGTCTAGTTTTTACTGATCACATAGCTTGGTTTTACTATTTTTGGGGTCTCTATATGGCCATTTTCAATATAATTGTGACACTTATTGACCGCCACCAAGCTGTTCTCTTAAAACCCTCAATTTCGAACACAATTGATTACATTTATTTAATTTGAAATGTGCACTTCTGCAATGGGACATACATCGATGTTTCTTGCTACAGTTTTGTGTGGTAGATTATATTCTGGGAATGTTTTAGTGTGAAATTTTGTATGTATGTCCGTTGGTCATGATTATTTAGTTAAAGACTTGTGCTGTTTGCTCTGTTTACCTTCCTCTGTTCCTATAGGCAAAAGCTGGTTCAGCCATTTTCATCTACTTTCCTACTCTTTTCCAACGATAAGTTTTTCTACATAAATAACATGTACTATATTTTTGCTTATAATATGTATATTTGATTCGACTTTTTTTTGTTTTGCTTTTGTGTTTAGGGCTGCTTATAAAGGTTTTGCTGATTGTATACGTCTTCTTTTGTTTCTGGATGCATATAAAGGACGGCAA